GCCTGGCCATGTTCCCTCCCAGCTTCTTCTGCACCTGCTTGCTGGCAGAGTATGAGAAACTGAAAAATCCTTGACTTAGGATAAGCGCTGCTTAGCAACAACTAAACATCAGTGTGTTATCAACATTATTCTCACACTAAATCAAAAACACACTGTACCAGCTACTAAGAAGAAAATTAACTCTATCCCAGCCAAAACCAGGACAAATAAGAAATACAATAACAGGTCAACTAGTCTGGTTTACTATTGCTAAATTGTACTTTATTTGATAAGATTGTGTAAGAAAAATTGATTTACTATTTAAGATTGTGTAAGAAAAATTGATTTACTATTTTCCATTTATTTCAGGTCCAGATCCCACAGCAAGCATACCAAAAGGTATGTACATCTGCAGATGAGGAATACCATCAGTGAAGCCAGCCTTTCACAAGCTGGAACATTATAAGTTTGTCTAGCACTATTGGTTTAAGATGTCCATCTTTACAGTATTCTGTTACATAGTCATATCTCTGTTTATACAGGTTTTATCACCATGCTACTGACTTTATACACGTACATCTACTTTGTGGCTACTACAATGCAACTTTTTGTCCCAAATAACACTTAAAACAGAGTATTGCTCTTTCTTCAAAACAGAAGCTTGTGGTTAATACCTTTTCGTGAAAACCAATGATGTTAAAATTCTAAGCACCGGGTTAACTCTCAACAGATGAGCCATCAATAGTACAAGTTTTCTTCCTAACCTACACAGTTGAAGGTCACCAGTGAGGTATTATTGCAAAGTGATTTTTAAAAAAAAAAAATAAAAAAAAAAATTATAAATTTGTATGGTGTTTAGAACCTTCCAGACTAGTTTTATTGTAGTAGCTATGGGGAAGGATATAGTCCTGTTTTCTCAGAACATCATAATACGTAGGTTCTGACGTATGATCCCAGTCACTGCATCACGAAGTTCTACAACTTTGCCTGATAAAGACAAGATTTTAAACTTTTAAAAAGTCTATTTTTTCCATATTTTTAATTCCCTTCAGAAGATGGAATTGGCTATGCTGTAAACATACATACAGTCATGAATTAACTGTAAAATTGTCTGCATTAGTCACAAAGGAGTTTGTAGGATTTCCAATGTTTCTTTCCCCTGTTTGCCTGTGATAGGACAATGCAGTAGCTCTGAACGCTGCAGACCATTCTCTATACAGCTTTGCTTATGCATAGAGTGTATGATATTCACAGTACACTGGTAGAGTAGCTAGGTGAATGCAGTGCCTGGTTTAAGTGCTTTCTGTTCCTAGATCTAGGTCCCGAGATCGCCGCAGACATCGGTCTCGCTCGGCCTCCCGGGAACGTAAGAGAAGAACTCGCTCCAAATCCCGTGAGAAGCGCCATCGTCACAGGTCTCGCTCTAACAGCCGCAGCCGGAGTCGCAGCCATCATAGAAGCAGGCATAGTTCCAGGGAGAGAAGCCGAGAACGCAGCTCCAAAAAGAGGTACATGTTGGCCTTGAAATAAGTGGCTTTTCCTAGATGCATGATGAGAATTTTCATACTAAATTAAGTTTACATTTACCACTTCATAATTCAAACACATTTTGAGACTGTCTCAGATTTCAGTTACACCTTTAGCATATTTATGATTTGACATAGTATAGTGGTTGGTTTGTTTTGGTTTTTTTGTTTTGTTTTTGTTTTTTAAATAAAAATCATGGGGTTATGTATTATTTCAGTTTTGGATTAGTGATATAAGGTATTGGTGTCAAGTTGATAATACTGCCAGCTTCCTGCAGTGTAGAAAGTGAAACGGTTGATCTCCATTTGAACCCAGGGATATCAGCAGTAGTCTTACTGTCATACATTTGGTTTTTACCTTGGGCTCTTGTTCCCAGCACTGGAGCCCATCTGTTGTGTACTGCGCCAGATAAAAACAAGTTTAGATATGCCTGAAAATAAACTTGTTGCATTGCATCTGAAGACATGCTTTGCAAGGGAAGTGGCTCAACCCCTCATTGAAGGATTACTGCGGAGAGCAGTCTGGGGTTGTTGCCTTTGAATGACTCAGCTATCTGCTCCTGAGGATTTGCTGGCTTATTTTAGACGAGCGAGGTAAGCATAATTTAGAAGAGTGGTAGAATTGCACAATGAGGCATCTGGTAAGGAGGTCTGCTCATAACCAGAATTCCTTTCCTGTATAGGTCAGCCACCGTGGTGTAGACTTGAGTGCAGTACACTGGATGGACAGGGTGCCCATTCTTAAAACCCCAACAGACTGTTGACTTGCAAGGAGAGAAAAGATCTGATTTTGAAGTGGCCGCACATGCAGGGTTTATAATTTGGATTATTTTAGGAGTTAAATCACCAAGGATGGAGATACATATTTGTATTGAAGTGTTCAAGTATCTCATGGGCTCTTTGCCCTAAAAATGAGCTTTTTTTCCTCCCTGGAGTGGGTCGGTGACTGTAGTCCCATTGTGCTCTGTAAGAGAGCATAGAAGACAGGGTTGGTCCAAGTCTTTTGTTTCCTTTTTGTTGCAGATGGATGAAACTTAGACGTCCAGCACTCTAGTTGATATAGTCAGTAGTGTCTGGTATTTAAAATTCTTTCAGGGTGTTCTTTAGTGTCCTAAAGTCAACGTTTCAGACTCAGCAGTAGCCTGTCATCACAGTTATCCTAAAGAGTCTGCTTCTTAAAGGTGTTCACAATGGCAGATGAGCAAATCTTCAAAGCTGTAGTTTTTCAGTCTTAAAATAGACATTTTCCTTTGAATTGACACATTTTTTAACTTGGATGACCCAATGTATAGAGCGTATGCTCAAATTGCCTTTAATTCTTCAACTTTGAAGTCCAGACTTGCAAGACTCAATTTCAGTCCTTCAGAGAAAACTATACTGATTTGATTGTTCTGGGATTCTCATCATAGTTGTTTAAACTCTCCAATATGATATGCACAATGCAAATAATGCATTGTCTTCTGTATGTTGGCAGAGAACTATGTAAGAACAAGGAAATGGTGTGGACCATTGGTGCTATCCATATAACAGTAAACCTGTCAGTCTCAGCTGCCAAAGGCGAATTGAAAAAGCACAAGGTGATTTGAAGATGAAGTCAGTGTCCTTTTGAAGGATGCTATCAAAAGATAAGCCCTTCAAGCCTCATTTTCTGTGAATGAGTTAAAAAATATGACATACTTCAGGGCACAAGATTTCAACCTCAGGATATTCAGTACTAGATTTATTTCTCCTGATGTCAGTTCTTGCCCTGAAGGAATGAGACACCTGTGGTGGAAGAATCCTTGGTACAAGTAAGAATTTTGCATTACTGTTAACTTGAGGGACAAAATTGCTGTGCCATCACTAGCAGCTCATACCTCTTATTTCTCCGAGGTTAAGTAAAATTTTTGCTCTTGAAGCATGTCTATTGTGTTTTCAAGAGACTGAAGAATCCTTAGAGCTATGGTCTTGCTGCAGTTGGGGCCAGGATAGCTATTTAACTTGCAGCCAGGCTGGATACCTCCTTTTTAGAGGTGCCCTTCTAGCCATTAGAGCTGCTTTTCACATGAATGTGGGAGAAGTTTTTCTGTTGAATGCCATAAAACTGTTGATGCCAGAATCCAAAATAAGCCTGAACTTGCAGGCTCAAATGTATTATACTTCCCTGTCTTCTAAGAACTCTTTTTCTAGGCCAGGGAAGTACTCATTGCCAAGTCTTTTTTTTTTTAATTATTAAAATCTTGATATGAAATACTTTTATTCAAGACTGTCTTCTTTAAGCTTAAAACATTCAGTTGTCCAAGGAATTCTGGCCAAGAGTATTTTGGAAAATAAAAGACACACTCCAGCAAGTTAACTTCTTCAGGAAGGAGTCTTGGCCTTTTGGTTTTGAATAACCAAATAAATTCAGGTCTGAGGAACAGAATGCTTTTGCCAAAGTCTTGCAGAAAAGCAGAGTGTGACACCAGAAGCAATAGAAAGATGGCTGAAAGCTGCAGCAGTGGCACCTTAGGTGCACTCTGTGAGGGAATATAGAGGAGGATGTCTAAGCCAGTTGTTTTTTTCAGTACAGGTAGCTCATTTAATTTAAAACTGTGAATTGTTTAACAGAACAGCTCTTTTCTGGCTCTATTGTAAAGGTTTTGGAAATGCCTATTATCAGAGTAAAATATCTAGAAACACCACCACCCCAACATTGCAAAATCAGACAAGGGATAATTCTTCTAACAAAACCTAATTGTAGCACAGATTCCAGATTTGTTTTATATTTGTCATGTAGTAGCCTCATTCCAGAATTATGCAAGTTAATTTCCCCCTGCTTTTAATCAAACTCCCATTTTTAAAAATGTTTAAGTTTGTAATTTATATGTCTGAGAATAGGCTAGACATTCTTCTCAAGATAGAAACTACAGATGAGAAATTTCACTTAAACTTCTGTCAATGCAAGCTTTAGGGCAGAGATTGAAAATTAGAGATTCAGTGAAGCACATTGACCTCAATTTGGGCTCTGTAATAAATGTAAATTAAATTCTGCCTCTAACAATATTTGCCCTTGGAAATTGAAAGTAGAGAAGGGAGAAGAGTAGAATGATTTCTGATGTGTTCTCATACACTTCTATTTATATAAATCTAAAGTTGGCTTGGAAAAAGAAGAAAAATATAAAATCAAAATGCTGTTTGATAGCTACAGATTGATGACGAACTTGAATTCTCAAATCTACTGCACTTTTCAGATCCTCAAAAGAAAGATCTTCCAGAGACAAAGAACGTTCAAGAGATCGTGATAGAACATCTCGTGATAAAGATAGAAGCTCAAGAGAGAGGTCACCGCGAGATTTCAAAGACAAGAAACGTTCTTACGAAAGTGCTAATGGCCGATCAGAAGACCCGAGGAGCTCAGAAGAGCGTGAAGCAGGGGAGATATAACTGGCTGTATATTCACCCAATCTCTAGCTTCCTATGGAGTTGCATACTATGGTTTAGTTTACAGTTGTTCAAAGGGACACCAGTGAGCAGTTCCAGACACTGATCCAACTAGGGTAGATGTACAGTATATAAAAGTGGATATAACCAAGTCGGAATTAAACCCCATCGGTTAATGATGCCTAAAGCTGGGTCCTGGGCTTCCACCAAGTTGTAAAACTTTTCTGAAAGATTTCTCTTTATTCAGGACAACAGTTTTATGTACCAAGATGCAGATCTCAATGTTTTTAATCTCCTTTCCAATACAAGTTAGTGAACAAATTATATTGTACTACTTGCCTTGGGTGCTTTTGAACCTTTATAAATTCTCCAATTCTGCTCCAGTCAGAACAGCAGCATTGAAAGGTTGTATTTGGGGGGATTTTTTTTGTTTGTTTGCTTTTTTTGTAAGAGGGTGGGTGGATGGATATTAACTTTTACTCTAAGGTTATGTTCCCAGTGATATTTTTTTGTTGTTGTTTTGTTTGGGAACCTAGGAGTTGATTACAGTGGGAGCATTTAGACAGGAATGTGTGCTGGAGAAAGTGGAAATGTCTTTTTACAGTGCCTATTTAGACTTGGAAATTGAACAGCTGTTGCATTACATCTTTTTTATTTCTACTTAAATTTTGAAATCAAAGCCAGTCCCATATCTGTACCATTTGATTGGTATGTGTTCAATATATTTGTTTTTTTCCATAACGACTCTTTCTGCTTTTTGTTGTGGGGTACATCCTTAATTGTATTAAAAACAAACAAAAAAACGGCAACAACAAACAAAAACTAAGAACAAAAAATAAAATAAAATAAAAAAGGAAACCCCATTGTCCAATAACTTAACAAGGATATACTGGTCTCTTAAGGTGGTTACTTAGCAGTTCAGTCATTTAAAAACTTAACATTTTATTACTAGCGTTTTTAATGTACAGATGTGCTCTAGGAGATGCAGCCTTTCTGATTACAATCCTGACCATCCTAAGATCTTCAAAGGCAAAACCATGTGGAATCATAATGATCATGGCACAGCCGCTAACTTCTTAATTACTTTGGTTTCAAAAAGCAGTATTCCACTTAGGTGCAAGCTGCCTTTGCATAGAATCATAGAATGGTTTGGGTTGGAAGGGATCTTTAAAGGTCATGTAGTTCCAACCCCCCTGCCATGGGCAGAGACACCTTCCGCTAGACCAAGTTTCTCAAAGCCCCATCCAACCTGGCCTTGAACACCACCGAGGATGGGGCATCCACAGCCTCTCTGGGCAACCTTTTCCAGTGTCTCACCACCCTCACAGTGAAGACTTTCTTCTTTATGTCTAATCTAAATCTGCCCTCTTTCAGTTTGAAGCCATTACCCTTTGTCCTATCACTACATGCCCTTGTAAAAAGTCCCTCTCCAGCTTTCTTATAGGCCCCCTTTAGGTACTGGAAGGCCACTATAAGGTCTCCCTAGAGCCTTTTCTTGAGGCTGAACAGCCTCAACTCTCTCAGCCTGTCTTCACAGCAGAGGTGCTTCAGCTCTCTGATCATCTTTGTGGCCCTCTTCGGGACTTACTCCAACAGGTCCATGCCTGTCTTATGCTGAGGACCCCAGAGCTGAACACAGTACTGCAGGTGGGCTCCCACCAGAGCGGAGTAGAGGGACAGAATCACCTCCCTCGACCTGCTGGTCACACTTCTTTTGATGCAGTCCAGCATACGGTTGGCTTTCTGGGCTGCAGACGCACATTGCTGGGTTATGTTGAGCTTCTCATCAACCAACATGCCCAAATCCTTCTCCTCAGGGCTGCTCTCAGTCCAGTCATTCCCCAGCCTGTATCTGTGCTGGGGATTGTTGTCCTGACCCAGGTGCGGGACCTTGCACTTGGCCTTGTTGAACTTCATGAGGTTAGCATGGGCCCGCCTGTCAAGGTCCCTCTGGATGGCATCCCTTCCCTTGTCATCAGCAAACTTGCTGAAGGCGCGCTCAATCCCACTGTCTGTGTTGCTGACAAAGCATAAAGGGGTTGCTGTCGATTCTGTGGATTGCAAGTGCTTTGGGGCGTATAAATTACTCAGATATGCCCTACTTGCACACAGAAGAATTTAGAGATTGGTAAGTTCTCCTCCTTGAGGTAGCACCACTGAGTTACTTAACAATGCTTAAGAGCAGTGTTTGTAACGATTTACTGGCATTTTCAGCAGGTTCTGCAGACTTTCTCCTGTATCTTCCTAGTCCAAGTGCTTCTGTAGGCCCACTAATCATGGGTGTATAATATCACTACACATTCACTCTCTGCGTTTTTCCTCGGTGTCTTTTCTCTAGCTTCTTCAGTATGGTCAGAACACATGGGTGATAATTCTAATGCAGTAGGTAATTCAGCAGTATTTTGGCTGGCAGTGAAAACTAAAACAGGAGCTTTACAACTCAGCAAGCACTTGTGCCTGGCATGGCACATAAGCTCCACTTTGAATTCATGTCATTTTAAGCTCCTAAAGAAATACTGTAATAATGATGGCTAACTACTTCACACTTTATATTTACCCATTTGAAATATGAACATGAGTTTCTTCCCTGGGAATGTTTTATGAGTTCCTGCATGGCCCAGCTGTGTGATGAATGTGAGTTACCAGTGTTTGTCCCTCTGATATGAGCATGCTGTGTAAGTGCTTGTAACATCTGTTGTCACACCTTTGTTAATGGAATTCTAGTGGTGTGACAAAAGGTGAACAGTCATTTTTAGATACATCTTGCAGAGCAGAATTGCCAATGAGTGGATAGCTAACTCATTTGGAATTCCTTTCTGGAATTAAAAATATTCCAGAAATACTGAGGACCTGTCTCCCCCTGTGCCAGCAACTACAACTAGTGTATTGTAGAAAGGGGGTGGGGGTGGGGGAATTTGCATACTGTGATGAAAAGACTGCTTAGACTCCTTACTAGCAAATTCTGGATAATATGCCATTGATTTTACAAATGGCTTCAATTTACTTATGAAAGGGTGATTGGATTTGGGCCTTCGCTTGTTTGTACGTTTTTGTGGGGCAGCGAGCTTCGTAGTATCCAAGTGTCGGACCAGTGTTAAACAGCGAGAAGCTAAGTGTTACCTCTGGTTTCCTGATAAAATAATCTGAATTACATGCGGATGTACGTGCCTCATGTCCAAAATGAGGATGGGAGTGCAGTTAGGAAGAGAACTGAATTAAGGTGACTGGTGAAACATGCTTCTGAAGCAAGAGATCTGGAACGTCTATCAGCAAGGGAGACTGCTCTATTAGCTGTGCCCTTCCATCAGAACTAAGCTACCTCAGTTTCCAGCAGGCTGAAACCGTGGTATTCATCACCTGTATCTTTCCTCCTGGACAGCTGAAGAGTGGTATTGACTGACATTAGTTTGCATCGTCAAAATGATTATGAAAGGGATCTGGGGGAAATAACTCTCTATCCACCTCTGCTGCATCATATAAGGGAAAGAGCTTTTGACACCAATCAAATAGTTCAGGCTTCGTTACTTGTGGTCTTTAATTTCCCTGTCTTCAGTAAACGGTTCAGCAATTGTTAAATCTGACTTCTGGTCTAGAACTAGATCAGAAATACAATGGTGAGATCATTCAGAAAGTCAAGCCACTCAACCCACTAACCCAGATCAAATACATCCTACAGGCATGGATGCAATAGCTTCATGTCACACTAAGTATCATCTGTCACTCTATAGTTAAGACTTCCTACACTGAGCCTGTTTGCCCAGCTCTTCTGCCTTCAGTTGCTTGTTTAGCCATAGATTCTTACGAGGTTGACAGAGCTGGAGGCGGCCTGCTAGACCCCCAGGAAATCCCTGGGGGGTGCTGCAGTGCAGTAATCTGTGTAGTGATCTGTCCTGCTGCTGCTGTTCCTTCACTAAGAGATCTCGCAGGTCTGCAGGTCCTTGAGAGGGCCTGAGATCTGCGAGTACTTGAGGCCATTACTATTTGAGGAAAATACCTTGCGTTTGCTATAAGGAGGCTTACTGCAGCCTGGGAAGGGAATGGGCTCCTTGAGGGAACCGAAGGATGCTGTAGCCGAGCATCTCTCCTTTGAAATTTTGCTAATGCAGTTGTAGCTCCATAGCAATTTTTATCAGACTGCAGGTGTACAAATTGAGGACAAGGAGTAGATCATTTCATTTATTTGAAGTGTTTGAAATGCAGTGAACCTGCAAGCGTTATTCCTGTATCTCGGAAAGCTCTCACTCTGGAGTAGTCAGGGGAGCGTAAAACAGAAGAATGTTAAGACGGTAAGCAGCTGGAGGATGGCACATTGAGGTCCTCTCCTGAATGTATGAGAGTTGCTTTTCCTGTTGGAGCAGGAGGAACCATAGAGTAGAACAGTGACATTTCCAAGCAAAGAGGTGCTTGGCCTTATGCAGCCGTATCGCATTACCCGTCAAGCTCGCCACTGAAGCTGGTGGAGGCGGCTGTTCCTGTCAGTCCATCTTGCCTCTTTCATCAGGTGGGGAATCTGGGATTTATCCTCCTGTTGCTATAATGCAAACCCTGGCCCTGGAGCCCATCTATCTGTCCAACCTATCTTGCACCAGTTAGTGCCTTTGAGGCACCTTCCATCCTGCCCCCAGGGCAGCAGGAGAAAATAGGAGAACCAACTCCCTAAACCAATGCGAATGGATGATTGTGCAAACTCGAAATAGCCTTGGGGCAGGGATTATGTATTTAGCTGAAGGGAGAATGGTAGCAACTTGTCTTAAAGACACCTGGGGCCGATGCAAGATCCTAAGGGCATGGGTGGGTACATCTGAACGAATTATTTTAGCTATAGGAACACAGTATCACAAGAAGAACCTCCTGTGGTGCTGAAGATGACTCGGTGAGATGCGTGTGCTGCCTCCTCCAGGGCTGTTACTGATTCAAGCAGATTGCAGATGCAGTCAGCATTAAACAGTATAAATGCAGAATGAGCTGCGCACCAGAGGTGACGGCAGTGTGCAGGGTGTTGTGTAAGGGTCTGCAGCACCTGATAAACCCCCGGGTTTACTATTGTTCATGCCATATTTCTCGTGCCACCTTCCTCAGTATGGTTGTCCTCCGTTCAGCAAACAATAGAGGTTAGTTTCTCCTGATGCAGTGGCTTATAAAAAGTGTTAATTCAATCTTCATTCAGTCCTGTATGGTTCTTGCTTTTTGTCTTTTTGCTTTGATCGTTTTTTTTCTATTTGCTGCTTCATAAATTCTTGCACTGTTACTGCTGATGCAATTCTTTAATTCTTCTCAGTAAGACCTGATATCCGTCTTTCACTGCAGCCTGCAAAACTGGGAAGCAGCGGACTGTTGGGCAGGAATTGTATCAGCAGCTGGAAATATAAGGGAAGAGAGGAAGAAATGTTTGTTTCTAGCCCAGGCTCTCCTCTTTATCCCTGCTTTCCTTTCTGTAGGCACATACGTCGTGGTTTAACCCCAGCCAGCAACTAAGCACCATGCAGCTGCTCACTCACTCCCCCCCCATCCAGTGGGATGGGGGAGAAAATCGGGAAAAAGAAGTAAAACTCCTGGGTTGAGATAAGAACGGTTTAATAGAACAGAAAAGAAGAAACTATTAATGATAATGATAACACTAATAAAATGACAACAGTAGTAATAAAAGGATTGGAATGTACAAATGATGCGCAGGGCAATTGCTCAGCACCTGCCGACCAACACCCCGCCAGTCCCTAAGCGGCGATTCCCCGCCCCCA